TAGATAGATAGATAGAACTTTATTGATCCCACAATGGGGAAATTTGAACATTACAGCAGCTCAAGACAGTGGAGCTACAATAACAGTAATATGCGATGAGTTCTTAATGTTGTTCAGTATTTTAATGCTCACAAAAACCCAGTAATCATCTCCCTTGATGCCGAGAAGGCCATTTCTGTTTYAGGTGTTAGAGAAATTTGGTCTGGGCACAAATTTTATCAATCTGGTTAAAAGCTTTTATTCAGACTCGACAGCTTCAGTTAACACAAAYGGCTTAATGTCTGAACCCCTTTTAAAGTAAACGATAAAATGGTAAATGGACTGTACTTATATRGCACCTTTCTATCCATCCAGGACACTCAAAKCRCTTTACACTTACAGACATTCACCCATWCACACTCACATTCACACAMTGATGATGTCAAACTACAATTGTAGCCACAGCTGCCCTGGGGCACACTGATAGAGGCACGGCTGCCATACACAGGCGCCACGGGACTCTCTGACCACCATCAGTAGGCAAGGCGGTTAAAGTGTCTTGCCCAAGGACACAACGGCATGTGGGCATGGTGGGGAGTCAAACCTGTGACTTCTGGGTCCCAAAGCCAGCAGCTCTACCACTACATCACAGCCACCCGAAAGTCCGCAGGGGTTGTAGACAAAGGTGTCCCCTTTCACCCCTATTGTTTACATTGTTTATTGAACCTCTAGCCGAGATCATCAGGAGTAATTCTGACATATCTGGAATTAATATAGATGGTAGAAATCACATTATTTCATTATTTGCAGATGATGTAATTTTGTATATGAGCAAGCCTGAGAAAAAGATTCCAGCAGTTTTGGAATCTATGGCTACATCCAGTACTTTGTCAGGACACAAAATCAATCTAGGGAAGTCTGTTGCAACTCTTTTTAACATTCCCCCAAGTATATTGATCTCCTTTTCAAATATCTATGAGGGGTCTCAAGTAYTTAGGTATTTTTGTTACACCTGATTTGAATAATCTCTTTGAAACTAATTACTTACCTCTAATTCAGAAGATTAAAAATGATTTTTAAAAAATGGGTTTCGCTGCCAAACTCCTTTTTTTAGGGAGGATCAATACCATAAAAATGAACATTATTCAACGACTGAACCATTTATTTCAAAATTTGCCCTGTTGTCTGCCCTCTGCACTTTTCAAGTCACTGAACTCTCATCTGTCTCGTTTTATCTGGAATAATAAAACCCAAGAGTMAAGTTTTCCATATTAATTAAACCAAAACATCTTGGAGGTTTATCTTTATCATCTCTGCAGTTTTATTATTGGTCRTTACAACTGAAAACCATTTCAAATTGGTTCATGAATAGAGGGAACTATATGGTTAGTTCTGGAATCCCAKTCTTGCATTCCCAGGAAACTCAGATTCCCCTTTCTTTGTAAATGACATAGACCAACTGAGCAAGCTTAGAAACAACTTCATTGTTTATAACACTTTGCTTGGCGAGRTGTGAAAGTAATCKTGCAGTCATATTCAAACTTTCTGGAAAGCAGTACATCTGAAAATACAAGAAATTATTGGTAAAAGGGTTTTGTTGACTCCCTCTTTCTGTTTTTTTAACCATGCTCCAGACACTATTTAAAGCAGATACTAAATCTTTGCTTATAATCCTTTTATTTCGGRCCAAGAAATGTATACTACTGAGATGGTCAGCAGCCCAGGCTCCTACAGTTGACATGGGGATATCACATWTCTCTGCTATTATCCCAGTTGAAAAACTGACTCACGACCTTCATCAAAAGCCCGACAAATTTTGTAAGATCTGGAAACCATTGCAATCCATTTTAGATGGACCAWGATTTCATCTGGAGATTGTGACWGGCTACTCTACTCTCTTGCTTTCAATGTATTACTTATATTGATGCCTTCCAAAAGTTTTGGTGACACTTTAATCTGAATCATATCTCGGACTGTCTGCATTTTGTGTATGTAGGCTATTCAGTGGTGGGCAGCGCTAATCCAAAAATTTGCTCCACAATTTCTAAGGCGCTTATGAAAATGTTTAGGTCCACAACTTCTAAAGCGCTTATGCCATAGAAAAACTAGCGGAAGCTAATTTTAAAGCACAAGTTAAATTTGACACTTACTAGCTGGCAATAATTCAAGTACAATATATGTAAAACACTGCCAAGTAGCGGTGTGTGAACCCTTTTACAACTTAATTCTACAACCGCCGATTGCTGGGGATGTGATTTCCTGAAATAGACCTATAGC